ACATTAAGTTCTGCATGAAACTAAAGAAAACTTTTACCTATTTGAGATATTTGAGTTTTTTGTTTTAGTAACTTAAATGTTTCGGTAAAAGTTTTCTTTAGTTTTATGCAAGTTCTGCATAAAACTAAAGAGAAAACTTAAGAGAATAAATGCTATTGTGCATGATTGATAATATAATGTTCAAAATATTAAATTCTGCCTGTTATAACTTAATGACACGACTAATGTTATTTCTAGAATAAAAAGTTTCTTTTCAGACAATCTGTGTTAACGTAACGTTAATTTATACAAACTTTAAATGTTCCCCATGGCGATTGTCCAACTCTTTTGGCATTGTCTAACATACGTCCATTATTATCCACAATAAATTTCGTAGTGACACAATGTCTGTCTGGCCAACTAGGATACCATTTAGGAACTTCCCAATTTCGTAATCTTTTTGGAGCAAATGCATCTTCTGTCCAATGGCCATGCCAGTGTTGAGACATTTTCATATAATTCTCGTGATTTTATAATTTTAATACGTATGAATTGTAATTGTACTTGTGTTTGCTACTACAATTTTTTCTATCAAGCATGGTTAGTTACGTGTTACTATGCTCGTTGCTATGTAAATCGATTACTTGTACAGTCCCTGACGTCCCTGTATGAATGTATGTACATAAAAATGAAAGGATTTGATCATTCATATTTTCAGAACAAAATTAGAATTATTATGTTACATACGTACTGAATTTGATCCCTTGTGTATTACATTTGATGCATGCGATGACAATATTATTCATTCTGTAGAACAAAAAGTTTCACGAAAGGTAATTACATCTTATACTTCTGTACTTAATGCAAATTTATTTAATATATTAAATATACTTTTATATATTAATAAAATTAAAAGGAAGAAATAAGTTATATTTATAAATTCGGATATCGTAATATATAGGGAGAAGTTACAGTAGAATGGCGTACATATGAAGTCTCTCGGCAAAACAAATTAAAAAGGATCGCTGTGATTTCCGTACCATTGCCAACGCATACAAGTTGTGTGAGATTTTCACCCAATCAGGAACTATTACTTTTATGTTGCATTGATGGTACTATTATGATGTACGATCAGATCAAATCGACAAGCATCAGTGTAAAAGCAGCTTTTGTAAGTTTTATTAATATATAAATATACAATAACTTTTTCTATATGTATAAAGATATAAAATATAAGTATTATGGAAAGATGCATTTTGAAAGGATTTATATGTATTTCTTTATTTCTTTTCCTTAAGATACCTACTTTAGCTGCTTGGCATAGCGATGGTATAATATTTGTGGTAGGTAATGATAGAGGCCAGTTTCAATATTTTGATATTACTTTAATGTGTATTAAAAGCCAGACATTAAGTGACGAGTCAATGCCAGCGAATATTCTCGACTTATCATCATATTTTAAGTATGAACAATGAAATAATTAGTCGGTAAGACATGGCCATAAAATTGGATTAATAAAATAATAATACACAACATAGGAATCAGCATGCTTTGCTGCATATGGAATGGAACAGGAAAAGTGATCTAAATCAGATACGTTATTACAACAATGGCAATTCTTTATTCTTATTACTTTTCGAACGGTAAGGACTACCATTTTTTTTATCAAGCAACATGTGTTCGATATTGATTGGTACGTAACAATTTATTCTGTATTCTCAGAGGACCGATTGGAGTTATTAAAGTGATTGAAGGCGATACTCTCTCCGGAGATGAATTAATCAGAAGGTATTTGTCAGAGTCTCGAGCAGAACAAGCGACTTCCTTGCTGTTGTCGATGAATTGGGATACGCATCCACGTGTTTGCATGCATTCGCTTAATCAAATCTTAAACTATTTATTTAAGTTACCGTTAACAACGGAACGCGAAGGTAAAATAAAATTTTGTTTTACTAATCTGATGTTTAATTAAGAGATTACTTACTAATGATTTTAAAAAATAATCTTATTCTAACTTATTAATCTGATCCAATAGGTCTGATACAGAATGCGTTAGGCAGTTTTCACATACCTATTAAACCAATAAGCCAAACTGTCGAAGAAGAATATGGGGACGAAGTAAGAGATTTGACGAGGAGATTTTTTCATCATTTATTAAGGTAGTGCATTATCTGATGTGAATTTAAAATTTAATTTACTCTAATCATTTTTTATGATCTTTGTAGGTATAAGATGTTTGAGAAGGCTTTTCGACTAGCTATTGATCTAAATGATCATGATCTTTTTATGGACATACATTTCTACGCTACGGTTTTGAATGACATGGAACTGGCAACTGCAGCTAAAGAGAAAGCTGAGAGTATTCTAAGCAGATCGAACAGTTGCAGTGGTTCACGTAAGAATTGATAAATCTTTTTGAAGACTTTAATACCTTTTGCATCTATTTAAATAAATAAATTTTTATAGATTCCACATGTTCGAGAACATCATGTTCTATATGTTCCGATTCAAGTAATGAGAAGGAAGAGGAGGAAGAGGAAGAGAAGAATGTGGAAGTAGAGGAAGAAGAGGAGGGGGAAGAGGAAGAGGATGAGGAGAAGGAGGAAGAGGATGAGGAACAGGAGGAGGAAGAGGAGGAAGGGGAAGAAGAGAAGGAGGAGGAAGAGAAGGAGGAGGAAGAGCAGATAGAAGCAACATATAGTGAAGAGAGCGAAGATTCTCAAAAAGAAAAACGACTTAATCTGAAACGATCGCGAAAGTATCGTTACAGAAAAGCTTCCAGTTCAAATCAAATCCCACCCTTACCAGTTGTCCACCCTCATCATACCGCAAAGAACACACTTTGCGCCTCATATAATAATATTCCGTCCACTATTAAGACTGACTACATCTTAATACCTTCGTCCTTTGACACTTCTAATAACATTTTAACAACTTCGTTTAATCATTCTTCGCATATTTCGAGCCCATTTTTATCATCGACTTCTTTTAATAAATCATTATACAGTACACATTCAAATTTTACACCGATTAGTGCGGCGAATGTCATTAATAGTTCTCAAGTATTTAACAATGCATCAGACGACTTGATGACTACGTCATTCGGCAGTATTTCTTTCAATGAATCAGATGTAATAGTGAATGATCAGTCTAGGAATAATTTTGACGAGAGATCGTACGAGCAATCGTTACTTAATGAAATATCATATTCTTTTAGTAGTTCCACTACTAACGTAATAACGACTTGCGCGCAAGACGATAGCTTTATCTCTACTCCTTTCAATAAGCCAATATATGAATCGGAAGATATTCATTCTAATAATTATTTGACGAGTTGCTTAAACGTCATTGACAATAATGTTATGTCAACGTCATTCGGTACTCGAATCGCTAACACTCCTATCTCGCATAGTAACTCTGTCAATGCGTTAATAGCGAACAATAACTCTGAAACAACTTTTATGTTACGAGGCATGAAATCTTCAAAGATATCTGATAAATCATTAACTAAAACTCTTATCGATAATACTCATACAACGGATCAATTGCCTCTTTCGAATAATACTTGTAACAATCTGATGTCTACTTCGTTTAATAATTTTGAAGGATATACAACTCTTGAAAGTAACGACATTACATTTCCCAACACGGTTAACAATGTCAATGATCAAACCATTAAATTACAACATCCTGTAATGGAAGAAAAAGAAACAAATGTCACTGTTCCATCACCTTCTCTGATAAGTTCTTTCTCTAATTGCCTTCATGATTTACCTAGAAAAAATTATCTTTTATCTAAGAGCACTCAAGGTTTGCCAAATACTAAAGAATTGGAGAAATTTACATCGAATAAAACCCATGTGCCATTGTGCATTTTACAAAAACAGAATTCCACAACATCTAATGTACCTGAAAATCAGAAAACATCTCTATCTTTCAAAACATATAGATACAATTACGATCTAGATTACATACCGTTTCAGGGTTCTCGCGATGATACAGACTTACAACTTTCACAAACAGTTAGAAAATTTTCCTCGCGAAACTTTCATCCTAGTTACAGTATACAACATGGATTATTTGAGAATAGACACTCGTCGAGGTCTTCCCAAATCGTTAATAGAGAAACTAAAACGTTTTCTAACGTACCACCTCTGCCTGTAATTAATACATCTATCGCTAATTCAAAGATTTGCTCTACGTGTCCATCGTTTGCCGATATATCAAGTTCTCTTTCTAATGAAAAGCCAAAGGTGAAATTTTCAGACACTGTCACTCATATACTAGTACCTGGCACAGTAAGTAGTTTTAAAGATATATTTGCATGTGTGTGTGTATATATATATATATATATGTGTGTGTGTGTGTGTATATATATATATACATAAAATTTTTCTTACAGACTCAAGTATACAGACAGAAGCGATCTACTACACAAACACGTATAACGGATCCTAAACGTGAACTAGCTGAAAGTCTTCCACTTTGTCTGGGTAATGAAGATTACCTTAAAGATTTTCAACCATTGTGTAGTAAGCATTTTACATTAGTACATCTGTTTTGTATATGTAAGAAGCTTTACAACACAATTATAAATAACACGACTTTGTCTAATATTAATTTTTGACATTTTGCAGAAGATAGTGCTGATGAAAAAATAAAAGAACCTCCGAAGACTGATGACAGTACAAAGATTAAAGTTGTGCATTTTGGTTTATTGTAAACAAATATCTTAAAAGAAATATGGATTATATATGTATCATGCGCGAGCATAAACAGATAGCGCTAGAAGAATAATAAAAAATAAGTCCGACATTATTTATAATAAAAAATAATTAAGGGGAACTCGGACTCCTCCAAATTTAATTTGATTTTAATTTAGAGTCAAGATTGATAATAAGAATATTGTGAAGAAGTTTATCGAACTATTTTTATAAATTTTTTGTATATATTATATAACTTTCTCATAGAAAAGTTAATAAGAACTTTTCTTCATTAATCTTGTGTATAACTTTCTCAAATTTTTACTATTTAAAAATTTTACATGCTTGGAAAGAGATGCTATTTTTGTAAGAATATGTACAAGTATTATTTGCACTTACAAATAATATATTAATCGCAACAACATATATTTAAGTTTTATTTTTTTAATGTATCTAGCGTTGATTTCAAATCAATCAATGCTTTGTCTGGTACATATCGCTTCTCTTCTAATGTAGGGTCATAAATGTTTATATTTAAAGTAACACCTTGTGGTAAAGCTGCCTCTAATGCTCTGATTAATACTGAGCATTTTACAGACGATACTTCTGACATTTGTATATTTCTTTCATAAATTTTGAGATAATACTTGGACACAATTGTTGTCGTTCCAGTTTTATGCTTCTGAATCATGAATTCTTGAGGTGCTAACGGCCAGCTGAACAGAAGAATGTGGATTGTATTAAAAATTGAAGAGTAAAATTAAGAAAATTTAATGCAAATTTACCTGTTGTCTATGTCGATTTGTATGACATCCGCTAATTTGTGTATGAAAGACTGATAACATTCGAGCACAGGATAATCATAACCTTTGATTTGTATATTTATCGTAGGTAAAAGCGGAAATTCTGATTTTCCTGTCTGTAAAAATCGAAAAACTAACAAAACGTGTTATGTATACTTCAAATACCCAGAAGTTTAAATCTAACCTCTAAATAATCTGGCTCGTACAGACTTCCAGTGTAAAATTTTGCCGATAAAGTTTTTGTTGCGAGTAAACGTTGTCCAATCACTGCAATCTGGAATAAAAGCAATCGTTAAACAACTCAATTGTGCATAATAAGATAGATAAATATTCAATAAAGTATATGTCTTTTACAGGTTGTCTTGCTCGGTGTATGAAGATTATATACAAGTCAATCGCAAAAATTTACCTGTTTGATCAGATTTAAAGCCATTTCCTGTACAATAAAATAATTAGAACTAATGATAGATTTTCAGAAAACTTTTAATTCATAAATTTAATCGAATTCAATCGTTGAATTATCACGCCGCCTTTTGGTAAATTTTTTCCAGTCGACAGTCGATCAGCTGATTGCTCGTGCTTAGTGCTTACAGGCTTTCTTCAACGGCTAAAGATGACGTTTGCGATTCTGCGACGTGTCGTTGCATTGTTGAGAACTTTCGTAATAAAATTTTTATAATCGCGCAAAGTTTAATCGAAATATAAAGAAATTATTTTTTATAATCGAAATAGATAAAAATCTTTTACAATAATTACGTAAGGTTATATAAAAGGCGCCATTGAATTACATATTTATATATTATTGGCACATTGAAATCGAAGAAAAGTACCTTGCTGATGTTATCTGCCACTTGTCTCAACAATTCGTTGAAAAATAATATTTTGCATTAACACAAATGCTTTAACAACCGATATTATACATTTGTTAAAAGGATCATGGATATTGAAACGGAGAATGTGATAAATCTGATATTTCCGGAAGGTATCTCGGGTAAGATTAATTGTTATTTGGAAATTAATTATTTTAACGCAATATTGCTTATTATGGTGCATTTTTACCATTTTATGCAACTACGATTTCAGAATCTTGGAAAGAAAATCCTAATTTTTATCAGTATCTCTCAAAACTTGGAGGCTTTGATGTAGATCAGCTAAGTACGAATACCTTTATTATCCAGTTTATTTATTTAAATTTTGCTTTATACATCAATAAGATGCAGATTTATCTTGCATGAAAAATTTTTAGGTAAAGAACCTGATCATTTGTCTGATGAGAAAAACGCAGTGCTTCAAACTACACAGAAATTAGTCTTTACAAATTATAAAACTTTTA